TTACTACTAAATAAATAAAACTAAAGGTTTATAGTCAGTAGGGAAAGGTTTATATGTTATTATATTAAAAGCTTTATCTAGGAACTTTGATACAGGGTCATCATAGGTACACAGACGAATTATTTGCCGTTTTAAATTAGTTTTAGTTATAGAATGCGGATACAAAATATTATTTAAAATTATTTCTTACATAGAAAACATGGTTAGGTTTTAAGCATTCTTTGCTGGTGAATTTACATATTTGCTTTGTCGTTATGATGGTATTTTCACATTTTGCAAACACTTTTTTGAGTGTTTTTTTTTTTTTTTTTTTTTTCTTGTTCAATGTTTTAATTAACTTTTAAACTAAGTATAAATCAAAAATTACAAAAAAAAAAAGGGTTAAAATTTGAATTTTTTTTAATTACTTGAAAAAATATTACACTATGGTTTATAGTGTCATAATTTTTTAAAAAGGTGGGGAGGATTGGTACATTGAAATTGGAAGGATTAGTACAGGATTTTTAGTATCTGCTTAGTAGATTAAAGAAACTTGGTACAGTAAGGCGTGGGAAAACATGTTTTGATTATTTAATTCACTTTGCATCAATGTAATTTAAATATGAATGTTTAAATAATAGTAATTTATTTAGATTATTTAATTAAATTTTTTATATGTTTTCAGAAAATAACCACGCAAATACATTAAAAAAACAATGAATCTTATTAGAAGAAAAGCTATGTGTTGCAATCAGAATGATAATAAAAGATATGACTAGGAGTCATAGTTAAATATTAGATTAAAAGTAGTAATATGTAATATAATCTTACTTATAAACAAGTGGAAAAATTGTCATACTTATAAACAAGCGTCAATAATTGTCATGTTTGAGTCTTGTTATTAAATTATGAAAAATCTTCAGGTGTTTATAAGACATGTTGGTTTTAAAATGTATTTTCATTTAACTTTAAAATTGCACTTATTTTTAATGAAACTTCTAATGCATTAACATAAATACAGTAAGCAACAATGCTCTCCCTTATCTTAACCAATTAGGTAATGAATATCAAATATAATTGAGTTAAAAGAGAGAAAATCACTGCTGCTAGAAGCGTTGCCTTAGAGACTTAAAAGGCTGTACCTGTAAGATATATAACTCCTAAATCAAGAACAGGTTTCGGTTTAGAGATATAAACCCCAAATACTTGGGTAACTAAATAATAAAAAAGGCTATATCTAAGAAAGTCTTTTTTTCCCATCCATTTTTATAATTAAAGATCTCTTAGGTGATTTTTTTGAGCTTTTAACTCTCTAAAAACCTCCGTGTCAAAAACCGAAGGAAGGGTCACTAACAGCACTACTACTAACACTATTAAGTAGTCTATTATTATATAAAGATTGCTAAAGCAATTTAATGTAAGTTAGATCAAATTTCGCAGGTCATGCCTGTGCATCACAGGCAAGACCCATAGACACGCCTATGATCTAGAATAACTTTTATATAAGTACAAAATTTTGGATTTTAAGTTTTTCTTACCTATTAGCCACCTAAAAAATTGCAAACTGTTTCTGCATTTAAGATATTGTGTCATTTTACTTTTTTTCAAACTATTTGAAAAATGTAAGGCATTATCAAACCTTAAGTATTTAAGCGTAGTTAGATGTTTCATTACTATCCCAGGTTCGAGGTAGCTAGGTAGTAATTTTTGGGCTGTTAAAGTTTATTGACATGGTTTGTTAATTTTAAGAATCTAAAACTACCAATCTTTTAATAAACAAAATAGAATCCAGATTATGTATATATTAGGTATATTTCTTTTTATGTACTTGCCTCTATAAGGTCATAAAACTTTGCTTGCTACTACTATTACCTAGCACTTTAACTCTAGAACTCAAGCCTTGATGAAAAAGGTAATTGTATAAAGAAGAATAGTGAAAACGGTACTGACATGGTAGCACTGCCCATTGTTCAAATTTCATCAGTTCCTTAGTATAAAAGCAATACAATTGGGTTCAAACTTCATACCTCTTGCTTAAAAGTGAACTCCATCTATACTGTATTCTTTAGCTTGACTTAAATTGTATTTGTTTTATTAATGACTATGTAAACATAACAAATAACTACTGTACAGCAATTTTTAGTATTAAGTTGCTTCTTGCTGGAGTAGATAATAATTAAGAGTTAACTCAATAATAAAAAAATCCAAAAATAACTAGTAGTGATCTTATATAAAAAATAACTTTGAAAAATCAACATAAATAAACCGCTTTAAGGACGTCATTTTTTGTGGAATTACATAAAATTTTTTTATTAAAAATAAGTAAACATAAACAAAGCAAATCATTCCAACAAAAGTTAAATTATTTTTTGCTGCATTAAGTTAAAGTTTTCAAGCTAAAATGATAAAAAGGTTTTTTTTTTTAAACTTAAAAACAAAAAGTTCTGAAATTTTGTTTTTGTTTACTGTATATCTAAACCCAAATAAGTTGCATCATTTAAAGGTTGCACAAAAGTCTTGTTTTGTTGGACTCATAAATTGTGTAGCTAAACCAGGTTTGCAAAACATAACCATTTTTACCATATTATAAACATAATTAGCAAAACATTATAAACATTATAACATGTCACTATTGAGCAAAAGTTAATCATGTCAGATAAAATTGAATTTCAAATTTCAACATTGCAAATATGTGAAATGTCGAACTAGCTAAGGAAAAGGTAAGCATGTTAGACAGAAAATTAAATGCAATAAACAACAAAGTTGTTGTTGATGTAACTGTACACTACCTTTGGTTTAGAGTAGACCATTGAAATAATCAAGCTTTTCAACTATTCAAGTATTGATTAAAAAATATGAAAATGTTCAAACACTCAATTACTCAATTTGTTTATCAAAAATAAAATGGTGCATTAACAAAAATGAAAAATAATAATAATGCCATAAAAAAATGCTTAACAATTAATTTTGAATAATTATATTATTCTATTAGATTTTTTTTTTTCTAAAAACATATATTTTAAAAATAAAAGTGAATTGAGTGTTTCAAAATTTAAACTTTTTTTTTCCTTTTAATTAAACCTGCTGTTGAGAATACTCTTTCTTTAGTTGTTGAGGTTGGGCAAATTGTTATTAAAGCATGATCAAAATGTCCATGGTTGTCAATCATGAAAGAATCTAATTGTCAAAGTTCTTTCTTCAGTTCAACATATTTATCAACTTGGCAACAGTTTTGTGTGTTTTGTGATCTGAAACAGAACTTAATGCATTTTGGAATTCTTTTTGCAATTCTTTTTGTGATCTTTTTTGTGATGTTATTTCTATTAAATTATCTGCATCAGGCGAAAAAGAATTGGTATAATTATTAGTATTGACATGCTGATCTATTAATATTTATGGATGTAATTGTTTCAAAATTTTAACTGAAAATGAAGTTGCCAAATTTTTTTAGGTATATTTAAAACGATTGTCAGAACTTGGCATATTTCCAATATAAATTATCAGAGTAATTAAAACTGGATCTCTTCCTTCGTCCATCCTTTTTTTGATGGCATTTATCATTAACAGCCGCAACTTTTAACAATATTTCATTTAAAGATTCTTTTTTTATAAATTGACGAACAGTAATTGTTTTTTTTTCTTTTTCGAAAAAAATATTTGAATATCAATTAGTAGAAAAATATGCTAGTATAATCGAATATCAATTATTAAAATACTCAAGTTGAATGGTCTAGTTCAGAGACTTTGGTAGTCAACATGAATCTAAGATGCTGCTCATTATAAATGCAGTAAAACTTCTTGAAAGTGTTCAAGCCAGGATAGGCCGCCTAAACATAAAGTTTAATGTAGAACAAACAAGGGTTGGTGCAACAGCAACTCCGAATTCAGGAATTGATAACTTAAACTTTTTTTTTATATAAACATACTCATTTTTTTTATGATTCTATTAAAACATTTCTTCTAATCGTAAAATACAAGTTTTTTATTAACAAATGTTAACTCAATTTGTTTCTAGTTTCTTCAGGTGATTGCAATAGTAAGCTTTAAAGATGGATAATTCTCAAAACTGGAGTTATGAAGTATTGTGGCAACAACATGTTGTTGAATATAAAGCAATTAAAATAAAATATTTAATATTTAAAAAAAGTTTATTTGCAGTTTAATTTGATATAATAGTAATAATAAAAATAATAATAGTAATAGTAATAATAATAATAATAGTTATATACATATATACATATATATATAAATATATATATATATATATATATACATATTTATATATATATATGTATATATATATGTATATATATACGTATATATATATATATATATATATATATATATATATATATATATATATATACATATATATATATATATGTATATATATATACATATATATATATATATATATATATAAATATGTATATATATATATATATATATATATATTTATATGTATATATATATATATATATATATATATATATATATATATATATATATATATATATATATATAATAAAAATATTATTTGATTTCATTGCTCTTTTGAAGAAAATGAATCTTCGAAAAAAAAAATTTCATACTATGCATTTTTCTGATATGAAGATACTTCTGTTATAAGCCTTATATCTGTGATAAGCCTCATCTCTGTGATAAGCCACATAATTATGCTAAACTTTTACTATTACTAAACTTGTGTGTTTTAATAATATGAACTTATGTTGAATATCACTTAAAAATGCACTTAATTATCCAAAGCTACCAAAATACTTGGAGATAATTTGAGGTATGTGTTTTGTGTGGTTAACACATCTACTGCTTGCCTGGTTTTCTTTCCTATATGCTAGTATTTTAATTATCTTCCTTTATATATCTAAAAAAAATCATTTATGCTTTTATTGTGGATATACTATAACAGTGTTATTAGAAACCTGTACATGATTTTTTTAATCTTTAATATTTTTTCAGTTAAATTTAGCTCAAATATGTAAATATGGTTTATTTTAATTTAGGTAAAGATGATTACAATTGGCATTCATTGTTTACTTTTATGGTTGGGTTTTCAGACAATGCTTGCCAGCAGAAAGCTGCTTGTGATTCGCTGCGATCAGGAATTGAGTGTAATCCTAGTTTGTGTGATTTAATAGGTGAAGAAAGTGATAGCCTACTCCCAATACACAACTGTGTTATTTTAGCACTTAATGTTCACAAAAAAGATGTGTACTTGTTTCAGTCAGCATGTGGAGCTATATATCAACTTTCAATAAACTCTAAAAGAATTCAAGAATTATATGTTAAGAAAGGAGTATATATGTCAATCATTGATGAAATATTAAATACACCTTGCGACCATGCTATTCAAGGATGGGGATTTCATGCTCTACGAGGGTTATCTCATGATCATTTATTACAAAAGGAACTCATCTTTACATGCCGTTTTTTTAAACATATAGAGAGTATTTTATCAAAAATAAAAAATATCAGTGTTTTAAAGGAATGTATTGGACTACTTGCTTGTTTGGCACAAGACCTAGAGGTCTTTCGGAATAAGTGCATAGACTCTGGTATACCTGTAGCTATTCTTGATAATATGATTGAAAATATTAACAATGAAGAATTAGTAGAAATAGTATTAGAGGCATTAGGTATGTAAATTTTATAAATAATAATTATATATGTATGTATTCATATATATATATATATATATATATATATATATATATATATATATATATATATATTATATATATATATATATATATATATATATATATATTATATATATATATATATATATATATATATATATATATTATATATATATATATATATATATATATATATATATATATATATATATATATATATATATATATATATATATATATATATATATATATATATATATATATATATATATATATATATATATATATATATATATATATATATATATATATATATATATATATTAGGGTGTCCCAAAAAAAATATATAAAAAATATTGATCTGAGACAAGTGTAAGAGCTTGGTGTAAAACTTGAAATTTTCGAAAAATGTCAATTTTTGTCATATTTTTTTAGTTTTTATTATTTTAAATGTACCTGCAATGAAAAAAATGATGAAATTTATTTTAAAGTAGCATTATTTATCTATTATTTTTTAAATTAGTCATCTTTTACTTATACTTAACGATATACTTCAATTTTTTTTCTTGAATATTGGTATTTTATTGGTTAGCGCTATTTTTTTACTTATTAACTTTTGATTAGTTTAAAATACATGTGATATAAAATTGTTCCATTATTTTTAGTTTCTTAGTTGAATATATTTAAAAAAATGGTTCGAACAGTAAAAAAATCCAGCAAAATAGAACCCCGGGAAAAAGAAAAGTACACTGTTCAAAGCAGTTTAAGACAATCTCTATATCTATTAAAATATCCCATAAATGAGCTTCCAGGCAACCAGCTGCCCAGTGTCAAAAGTATTTTGCAATACTTTCACTTTTTTAAATCTTCAAGGTTGTTTTATTATCTAGTTTTTATCTAATTTATTTACTTAACCCACAATTCATGAATATAAATATATGTTTCAGCTGACTCTCTTATATAGGAGCACCAGATTTCAGTCCAGCAAAGAAATTATTGCCTGTCCAACAAAAACAGGAACCAGTAGTCTAGTTTGCAAGTATAGAGCATGTGAAATATCAACCAATAGATGTGCAACTTCAGCTGTTACTGACATCTGGATAAAAGCTGGTTTTGCGTGCAAGTGGAAGATCTGTTAGGTAAATTTTACAACAAAAAAAATTATTATAGATTTATCTTGTTTTTAGTAACTTCAGCTATGTAATATTTTTCAGTGAAAGGATCCTAAAACTCACAGAGAAATATAACAAAATGAAAGGATGGAGTAAACTAAACTGGTGTTCAAGCAAACTAAAAGAATCTGGACTAAAAAGCAAGTAGATTTTCAGGTGGAGATTGATACCTTATTTGATATATCTGCTCCTCAAATAATTGACATGTTAATGAAAGATCATAGAAGAACAGAAGAGGCAAAGAAAGAAGATGTAGCCTTCTAGGAAGACCAGCGATCTAAAAGGAATATGACCATGACTGCACAGCAAGATAAAGAATTAGAAACTAGGGCTCTGCGAAGAAAGGAGAGATTTGAAAAAGTTAAACTGTTGAATGATCAGAAAAACTCTAAGGCTCAAAAAAATAAAAAGGACTGTGGAAACATTTGAGAGATTGCAGTCGACAGACAAGACAATTCATAACATTGTTAGCCCATTTGAAAGTTCTCTTTTATGTGAAGAAAGTGATGATTCTGAATATGATGTATCCAAATCAAAAAAATCAAAAATAATTTTAGAATTAACACCTGATGAACTAATTGAAGCTACTTCTGCTTTTAGCGTTTGGTATAGAATTGATGTTAGGCCCCAGACTGCTATAATTTCTGCTATCTGCAATAAAGCAGGTGTTGACTTGCACGAGATTAATTTATCAAGATCTACTCTACATAGAAAAAGATTGAAAATCTTGGTAACTATTATTCACAAAAATGATTTTTATTTGTTTTGTTATCTTTATTATTCTAAATGTATAATTTAATTGATTTAGGAGAAACACTACGGCAGGTGTTGTTAATGTTTTAAAAGGAAAAAAACCTATAGTTCATTTTGATGGGAAACTTGTTAGACAGTTGGAAGAGAAAAATGATCTGACAGTTACATGTGAAAGAATTGCAGTTAGTGTAACCAGTATAGATTTGGAATGTAGAGATGATTTTTTGCTTGGCATAGTACAGGCAGAAAATTCAACTGGGTCAGAGCAGGCACATTTAATCCTCAATTTCTTGGAATACTATGATATTGTCGACAATATTATTAGTGTTTGCTGTGACACAACTGCATCCAACACTGGAAAATTTGTAGGAGCAGTTACATTCTATCAAGTATCCTTAATACAAGTCTTGTCTAATGCATGTGTTGTTGCAATATTATTGAAGTACATGTTAAACATTTTATGACTGCACTGACTGGCGCCGATACCAAGTCTCTGAAAAGAGAAATTTATGTTTGCTTACAGAAAGTTTGGTCAAAAATTGTTGACAAGATAGACACATCATCAGTAAATCTGGTTAAGTTTAACTGGACTTCTTTAGAGATTGGATCACCTATTTATAATATAGCCAAGACAGCATTAAAGTTTGGAGAAACTGCACTAAATGAAAATATTTTCAAGAGAGGAGACTACAAAAATCTTTGTCAGTTGTTTGTTTACTACCTTGGTGGTCATGTTCCTGGTATAAAATTTCATCAGCCAGGAGCTTGTCATGAAGCAAGGTTTATGGCAGATACAGTTTATTTGCTTACATTAAAAATGCCAAAAGACATCTCAAATATCATGAACGAAAAGGAGATGGTTACGACAGCTTCTTTATTTATATCTCTAACATACTGTCCTTGGTTTTTCAAAAGCTCTCTGAGTATTAAAGCACCAGTTAATGATTTAGCAGCATTCAAAGACATGTTTGATTTAAGTAAAGAATATCCTCAGTTTTCTCAACTAATACTGAAAAGCATGCAAAATCATACCTAGTATTTAAGTCAGCAGCTTGTTGTAATGGCTTTAGTGGATGATGATGTAGAAAAAGTCGAGAAGAAGAAAATACTCCACAACCTCTTACAGTTTCCAGTTCCTAAAGAGTTCACAAAAGGTAAGCCTAAAATGCCTATAATCACACCGTCTACAACACTATCAAATTTAGTTGGTGACCAGAGCTGGAATTTGTTTTGCCTAACCCAGGTTACCCATGACCAGGTTGAGTTAACTGCACAAAGGGAATTTACTGTTCTAGACAACTTAAAATTTTTTGTTAAAAATATGGAAGTCACCAACGATTGTGCAGAAAGAAATATAAAACAATCTAAGACTTTATTATGTCATACCGAAATAAAGATATGAAGCAGAATGTCTTGTTGGTTGCAAAAAACTATAGAAAAACGTTGAATACAAATCTGACTAAAACCCAGCTAAATCAGATTTGAAGTGCTTATGATATTTGTTCAACCTTTCTTTCTACTACTCTTCAGCATATGCAACATACATTTAAAATAAATTTTATTATAATAAATGTTTAACATGATTTTTTTCTAATATTTACAAGTTTTATCGTATAAATAGAAAAAAATCAAAAATTTGAAGTTTTACACCAAGCACTTGTAACCGTTTAAATTTAAAAATTCTAATATATTTGGTCATAATACACCTAGTAACCAAGTTCTAGATAACGCACATCTCTTTTTTTCAAATTTTTTTTTTTTGGGACACCCTAATATATATATATATATATATATATATATATATATATATATATATATATATATATATATATATATATATATATATATATATATATATATATATATATATATATTAGGGTGGGGCATAAAACACCTAAGTCAATAAAAAAAATACCACAATAGTTTTTCTGGTTCCTTTTGATATCTGCATTAAAAATATATAATTTTTTTTTTTTTATGGGTACTCCTATGGTCGGTCCCAGCAGTCTGAAATTTTGAAAATTTCTACTTTTTGTAAATAATGAGGGGGGCTGGGTCACTTACAAATATCTCAAAGATATCTTTAATTTTTGTAGCCTGATAAATCTTATTTAAGATTATATTTTCTTTTATTGCAAAAAATGAAATGAAATGGTCAGCCCTACCCATTTAAAGACATGCTGTGTATATTTGGGAGGTGGGGGGGGTGAGTAAAATTTTTTTCTTACAATTTTAAATAAATTTTTTTTTTACATTTGTATTTATTTTTTAAAGAAAAGTAATTTTAAAGCTTTCAACCAAGATTTTTTTTCTGTTGTCTGAAATTTTAGACGATGACCAGTAAATTAGCTTGGTTATCTTCTTCGTTTCAGAAAGTTTCAATAAAGTCTTGACCAAGTTTAATTGCACGTTCTGCACTGTTATTTACAACAAGAAGACCAGTGATATAATTTTTAAATCTTATATAACCTGAACATGTTTCCCAGTTTGATGAACTGATTTTCAGCCATTCTGTCTCATGTAATGTCATTTTAAGTAAATCAAAGAAAAACCAGCTTTCAGGACCAATAAAATCTTCAATTCTTTTTGTTATTTTTTTTTCATTGTCAGTAAAAATTTCTGAACTTAGTTTTCCCATTTTATAACTGGTAGGCTTTGCTGTTTGAGCTAATTTAAGAGCTAATTTATGTAGCTGATCTACAGGTAAGCATTTATCAGCAAGACACATAACCACAAATCTTTCATTTAAATACCAATTGTGTTTTTCAAGTGACTTTAGTACGGCCTCTGCTGGTTTAAGACATAATTCATAATATTGTATCATTTCATTAATGGCTTTTAGATCTAAAGAAGGTGCTATGGCAGGGATAGGAGCTTTAATAAACCATGGAACATAAAATAGTGCTGTAAATGAACCAATTTCATGAATCAGCTTTCCCTCTTGTAATGATATTATATCAGGACATAAGTTACTGAATTGTGGCTGTAGAATGTCGTATGTTAAATAATAAACGCCCTGTGCCAAAAACCTGGCATGATGTGAAGCCATTGGAAATCTAAAGTGAAAATCTT